ACATCCACAAACCCACAAACAGATATCCACAAACAGACATACACAAACAGACATCCACAAACAGACATCCACAAACAGACATCCACACATCCACAAACAGACATCCACAAACAGACATCCACAAACAGACATCCACACATCCACAAACAGACATCCACACACCCACAGATATCCACAAACAGACATCCACAAATAGACATCCACAAACAGACATCCACACATCCACAAACAGACATCCACATCCACACATCCACAAACAGACATCCACACACCCACAGACATCCACAAACAGACATCCACAAACAGACATCCACAAACAGACATCCACAAACAGACATCCACAAACAGACATCCACAAACAGACATCCACAAACAGACATCCACAAACAGACATCCACAAACAGACATCCACAAACAGACATCCACAAACAGACATCCACAAACAGACATCCACAGACATCCACAGACAGACATCCACACATCCCACAAACAGACATCCACAAACAGACATCCACACATCCCACAAACAGACATCCACACATCAGAAACCCACGGGCATCCACAAACAGACATCACAGACATCCACAAACAGACATCCACACATCCACAGAAACAGACATCCACAAATAGACATCCCACAAAACAGAACATCCACATATCCACAACAAACGAGCATCCACACATCCACAAACGAACATCCCACATCCACACATCCACAAACAGACATCCACACATCCACAAACAAGACATCACATCCACAAACGAACGCATCCACACATACACGAACTCCACACATCCACAAATGAGCATCCACACAAACAGACATCCACACATCCACAAACAGACATCCCACACACATGCAGACATCCCACACATACAGACATCCACACATACACAGACATCCACACATCCACAAACAGACATCCACACATCCACAAACAGACATCCACATATCCACAAACAGACATCCACACATCCACAAACAGACATCCACATCCACACATCCACAAACAGACATCCACACATACACAGACATCCACACATACACAGACATCCACAAACAGACATCCACACATCCACAAACAGACATCCACATCCACACATCCACAAACAGACATCCACAAACAGACATACATATATACAAATTAATAATAATATTAAAAAATTAACATTTCCCACCCACCCAGCATCCCTACCTTTCCCTGGGGTCCAGTGGGGCTGCAGTGAGGACGGCTCTCTCCCTGTCACACGCGGAGAGGGAGCTGTGTGCTCTCTGCTCCCTCTTGCCGCGCGGGATGTCTGCTGATGCTGGGAGCCGGAATATGACGTCATCAACCCGGCTCCCAGCATCAGCAGACATCCCGCGCGGCGAGAGGGAGCAGAGAGCACACAGCTCCCTCTCCGCGTGTGACGGGAGAGAGCCGTTCGCCAGGGGGGCAATCCATCAGGTTGCCCCCCCCCCATGACAGGGGAAACAAGGGGGGGCATTTGGGGGCGGCATTTTTTGCCGCCCCCTGAGTGCCTGCAGGGGGAACGGCGTTCCTGCTGTGAAAAAAGTGCAGGAACGCCGTTCCCACGCGTTCCTGCAGGACTCGAGCCCTGCTTCTAGTGGTGAAAGACATAATATGATGAATAAACAATGAGTCAATGTAATGGGCATGTCGATGAGAGTGTAGCCCTGTATCAACTGGCAGCTCGCTAAGTTCTGGATGGCGAAGAAATTAGCTATACAGGGGAAGGTGAGACCTTGCTAAATGCCAAGTGGCTCAGAGAGGCTCTAGCTGTGATTTTGGCCGATGGACTGTAAGAAGTGGTGTGACTGTTGTCCTCTCGGTGACAAGGACCTGAAGTATGCGTAAGAAAAAATAGCCTAATCAATTAAACGCCAAAACATGTATGTAACATCTCTAGCTTTGTAGCATGAAGCAACTTATGAGATCTAGTAATCACCTTAGATGAAGTTGTGGGTTATACTTATTTAAGTAAAATAGACAGATCGAAGAGGCCTGAATATGTAGAATTGCGTAATGAGGGGTTCTGGTTTCTTGGGAGTGTGCCGAGAGAGGAACCATGTAGGGAGGACTTGTGTGGGACTAGCAAGGCAATGTGGAATAGTAAAATGTGATATGAAAGGGTTGTAGTTTTCCATTGTAAGCAGGAAAATGTAGGTAAATGCCCAAATGGGGGGGTCAAAATTGGATCGTAGTGGAGGGCCGTATGTAACTGTTTGGAGTGAAGGCCTAATGAGGGCCATGTGTAGAGGTATTGTAGCGAAAGGCCGAGAGTGCCCAATATAAGTCCTGAGCTGCAGGATGGAAAAAATAGGGCTGTACGAGGGGTATGGACATGTGGAATAAATATATCAAGGTTGTAAGAGTTGTGTAGAGGCCATGCATGATGTCTTTGTTGTTTGAACTGGTCCATATGTAGTGGTATGGAAAATTGTCATGAATACCAGGGTGGCAACGTTGTATGTAGTGGAGGGCCATCTGAGGTTTTGATCAAAGCAAAATTAGGCAAATAACCAACATGATAGATTATTAAGTGTCTAGATGTAGGTGACTTGTAATATGTAACATTGTCAATACCATGCTAGACCGAAGTGGCTTAATATGTGGAATAAAACTTATCGGATTAGGGATTAAGGTTTCCCAGATTCCTTAGACTCAGAGAGGTCCATATAGGTTGGGTTGGAGTAGGTCTAACGAGAACGAGCGTATAATTGAATTAAATAATATAAGCAGTATATAACCCTTGTGAAGCAGGCCAAGCCCAAATGAGGAGCCAAAATCTTGTATTGGGTTGCCCATAGAGGGCTTGTGAAGTGAATGTAGTGAAGGTCAAGGAAGGACCATGTTTAAAGGTATTGATGACACTCAATGGTTTGCAACATATGAGTATATTTATGCTGTGTCCTATGTTGGTGATGATGATCCCACCTAATAGACACTGCTGAACCATAGTGTTTGACATGGGGAAGGGACAATGTATATGATGAAGGATACAGGTTCCCCCGGCTGTTGTCCTAGTGAAAGCCATACCGTATAGTAAGGTATGATTAGTTTATTGATGTTGTGTAGTGTGGTGTGGTAAGATGCAACCCCTGTAAGTGGATGTT